TATATATATATATATATATACATATACATATACATATACATAGCATCACTTTTTTTTTTTCAAAACAGTGCAATTAAATAAATCGCTTAAAGAGTAACTCTCGGTCAAATTCGAATTTATAATAAAATTTTACTATTAATTTTCATACAAAGAGATTCTAAAATTTTAATTAGAAATATACATATACAAATATATGTATATTTCTAATAGCTATATATATGTATATTTCTAATTTCGAACTTGTCAAGACGTTGTCTTGTATAGTAAATAAGCACATGTAGAAATCGCGTGAATTATTCATATTGTAAAAGTTAAGACTGAACTCCTACTATTGCGCCACGTGTTAGGTGCTCCTTCGACCTGTGTCACTCGCGATAACCAAAACCGGTGAACGTACTTCATTGTGCACCATTTTCGGAAACCTGTACTGCCGGTAGTGAAACTGCAAATCTGAGCCATGTGATACGCGCTTTGCTTGCCTACATGAATGTATTTCGAGTGTGCCAATACCTTTTCTCCTTCTTTCTCTTTTGTATTTTTGTACATAATGTATTTTTGAATCGTGTGCATACACGTTATCCATGAGTATACGAATCGCGATTAAACGAAAGAATCCTTTGTACATAATTGACATAGCGCGCGAGACTATAATTGTACAGACAGGCGTTAGCATTGCGAGCCCAATAAATTTCTATCTATACGATACAGAATGACAGCATCGTTACTTTTGTCTACATCCACCCTCTCACTGATCCATCACTACAAAAACAGCCGTAAATGTCAACTCTTTCTAGAATAAAGCATCGTTTTAAACCGTCCAGCTATTTCTGGCCAATGTATTCTCGTGGTGAAAGGAAGGGTGCAAACGCGTTACGGAAAGAGTTTCTGTTTTCTCGGAAACCGTTCGTCAAAGCCATATGTCATGTCTTAAACGAGTCTTGTAATTCGTATGGCAACGGTGCCGGTGTCGCATGAGAAAATTAACGGCAATCTCCGCGATGTTTCGTTTAAAATAATGAATATTGAGTTTTCATGATTTTTTTCATTTTTATATAATATAATGTTTAAATTTATATATCATAAAATTTATATGCTATTAATTCTTTTAATTACAAATAAGTTATATACCTACAATAATAATATAATTATAAAAAGAATTTAAGAAAAAATAATAAATTGTAAAAATGTAATTTAAAATACTCTTAACAATTCTGCTAATAGATATGGATTATTTCTTAATTATATCACATGCATAAATAGTTAAAGAAAAATTGATCGACACTATGCAAAAATTATTAACATAAAATCTTTAGTCGCATTTTACAGAGTTTTTCCATATTCTGTGAGTAATTAAATTATATTCAAATGAATAATTATTCATAATATTTCAGGATTATTGCAATATTCATAAATATAATTTTATGAGTATAAGTAATTTATTAGTATGTAGATATATATAATGTATGTAAATTCAACATTTTATAGCTCTGCAATTTAATCGTTTAATTGAAATATAATTATTTTTATTGAGTTTTATTTTTCTATTCGTTATTAAACCATTGTAATATTTTTCCGCGTTTATGAATAATTCCATGATTTAAATATATTGCAATATATTAAAATCATTTAAATATGTCAGCACATATTAACATATCGACGCGCTATTACCCAAATTCCTCTTTCATAGATATATAAATCGTTTTCTCCTGAATTGATATTAGTGTGGGATATTAGTGTGGGAAAAAGTTCGTGGCGTTTTTCCCGTTAGATGGCATTAAAAAAACGCCACGAACTTTTTTCTAATATGTTTATTATGCGCTCTTTGTTCGGCATCTACGAATAATGATACTTTGTGAAGTATATTCCGTGGGAGAATGAACAGTCTTGGATCGCCAGAACATTAATTTGCAACATATTTACATTGTCAAGATACGTCTCCGAGTATATCGATGCTTAATAGTGTAAGCTCGATTAGGCATGTTACATTAGGCACTCCATTTTCTACGCTCCATCGACAATAAATGCTACCTGCTCATGAAATCAAGGGTGTATCCTTGGTGCATGCTTGAAAAGCCGGAAACTGATAAAAACATGCGTGGAAAAAAGGACATATATTTATACAATCGGCAGACAAACGCGTAAAGTTTAATTGTGCGAGAAACAGCAAGAACAGCAAAAACTCGTTTGAAATACAGTTTTTACGGCACAATCGTGTCGCATCAGTCGTTACCGTCGAATATTTCTCGAGAAAACGAACAATCCAAACTTAGAAAATTGATTATAAATTAATCACCGGCGCATTTTGTTTTCTCGGAAATAAACATTCTTCGGTCACAATCACAACGAAATACAATCACTTTCGAGAATTTACACTTAATGAGAATTCTGCGTCATTGTGCGACCGTGATGCCCATAAGTCTCGTAATCACCGATCTTACAAAGAAGATTTACGTAATGCGATATCCAGCGATTGCCTGACGATTCGCCACTGCATAATTACATCTTTGGCACGAACAACTTAAGCGCGATCGCAAAACGAACATTTGGCGCCTGCTGTACGGATGAATCATTATTACGTGACGCACGAAATACGGCATAGGAAAGGATGACACCATTAGAATTCTCTCTCTAATTTATTCATTACACAATTGGTCTTGCATTGCTTTTAATAAACAATTAAATCAAATGACAAAGATAAACCTTTTAACGTTGAGACAATAAGTGAAGTCCTATGAACAAAGACAGTGTGATTGGGAAGAGAACCGTCATAGTTCGTAGCGTTGAAAAAGGCAACAAGAGTTTTAATGAATCTCAATGAGGCCCTTGCGCTCTTTGTTTACATTGGGATTTGGCCAACCGTTGAGGGTGACAGGATTTGAAATTACTTTAGCACTGATGTGCTGGCTGCAACGGACCATAACGGGGTGCATTTTAGAACGAACACTTTGCTCATCGCAATAGACGCGAGATAATGTCATTCATGGGTATTCATCGTACCCTCCGTTAAGCTATTCACAATGAATCATGATTACAGCGAATCTTTGTTCAGCGCGAAAGTAAGTATACTCTTCAGAAAATAGTGAACGTTGTAATAGATTAGTCTCGTTTCTAATGTTAATGTTAATCACATATTTTGAAATTGTACACTGCTGGAATATATTAGAAGATACACTGATAACGATTGATTTCAGAAATTTATGTAGATAGGTACATGCATCTTTCCGAGAATATATAATCGATTAAATGTGTAAAATTCTTATTTGTCATTTTTTCCTTTAACGATCTTATTTACATATAATGATCGTTCATTTATATTACGAGCTTGGATCTTGCGATATCGATCTCAGGAAGCAATTAAAATCACTGGTCCGAATCCTTTAAGAAAAGTACATACTTGCTTCTTTGAATCTATCTTTGTTACGCTTTACGAGTTGGAGGTCATTGCAATTTTCTACAATAATGATTGTCATTACTATATATACTATATACATCCGCTATGACTATTTATCCCTTCTTTAAAATAACATGCATCCTGATACAAGTATTTTATGAAAAATCAGTGTCCCCAGTATATTCGCAAACGAACAATGAAAATGCAAACGAGAATAATTCTCACCGGTTGTTTTGTGATCATGATTTTTAATAATTTTAGCACGAGTGTCAAAGTTTCGTCAAAAGTCGATTTGGATTCCAACGAAAATGAAGAAACATTAGACAATCCGACCTTCACGATCTTAAATTTAAAAAAATCTGCTAATTCACCAGAATCAATTTTGCGTACATCTAATCCATCGACATTAATCTGGCATCAGGGAAACGAGTTCGTAAAAGAACCGAGAAAAAGAAGGATCTATACATTGCACGTGAGTAATAGATGTTACAAAAAAAAATAATTATGTCTCGTGAGGTGAGTTTTTATACAAAACAATAAATATTGTATAATTGCGCATTTTTTTACGTATTTGCATGTGGATTTTTTAGACATTTGTACATCATAACTATTAGTTCTTCAAGAAAATGCGAATGTTATAATGTTATAATTGTTTTAACAAATTTACAACTTTCATATCCATAAAATAAAACAAATAATAGATTACGTAATTAAAAATAATTGAAAAATTAAATTTATATATAATAGGTGTAATTTATAAATAATACAATATGAATAGTATAATGATCAAAAATTAAAAATTAGTTTATATTTAATTTGAGCTAAATTTAATTTTCAATTTAATGTTTAAAATTAAACATTATATAAATTGGGTAAATTATGATATATAAGAATCAATAATTATTATCAAGCATTATTATTTTGCAGATAATGAAAGATAAAATTAAGAAATAATGCAATTTAATGTTAAGTGTAAACATTAATAAATTAAACTCAGTTTTTTAATTTAAAAATTAGATTTAGAATTAAATTAAAGTATTCAATTCAATTTAATTTAAGAGAATTATTATTCAGTTAATCGCATAATCTATTATTCATTTTTTAATTTTATATGTATCGTATTTTATCAAATGTAAAGCTATTAAAGCTAATATCAAATCTATTTCGCAACATTATGCTTCCTCAAATAACATTTACGTGTAATATAATGTATATATATTCTGAATATATTCCAAAATTAGTTCAAATTTATATATTAGTTTATGTTGAACACTCATGAGAGAGAGAGAGAGAGAGAGAGAGAGAGAGAGAGAGAGAGAGAGAGAGACAGAGAGAGAGAGACAGAGAGAGAGAGATATTATATAAATAGATCGAATTTATATAAATTTTATAAGTCGAAAATCCATCATTAGGTGTGTTTAAAATACTCATAAGTATCATAAATGTTAGAACATTTACTATCATCAAATTAATTTAATAAAATAAATAATTAATTACCAAATTTATCAAATTTACAGATATTAAACTAATATTAAATCCAATTCTATTTCCTTATTTGTATTTCCACTATTTTCTATCATTATCTAATATTTTACACATTTATACTCGTTTTTACTAAAGTTTAATTTTAATTTCTATTCAACTAATTTATCTTTTTCTAATTGAATAAGTTGAACTGAGATTAAAATTAATTTGTAAGATGGCATTAAATAATTTTCATTCTGTATTAAGAAGTTTTACAGAGTTTCGAATTAATCATTATGAAAATTATTTCATTTCAAATATTATGTTATTTCTAGTGATGTGTAAATGTTATTACTTTTATTTCTATTAATGTTATTATTAGAAAGTTAATAATTATATAATATATTGGCGTTAAAAACTATTGCAGCTCTTTTAAGTAATGCGATAATTAAATTTTTTGTAGGAAAATTCAGCAAAACAACCAAAAATAATCAATAATATTCAAGTCGTTGTGAATAACAACGATAGTATACCAAACGAAAATTCTTGCAAATATAGTATTTGTAACGTATCCATTTCCTCGAAATCAGACGAAAAAGGAAATATTGTCACCGAAGTGTATTTTAGCATTATTACGAAAGCAAAACCGAATATTAAGATTGATGATGTTCCAGTAATCAATAGTTTTCGAGGTATCAATGAGGACTATGAGCAACCAATTTTTCATTCAATAAATTCGCCACGTTCAATAGACGCGCATTTATATTTTAATAACATTCCACAGGTGAGAAAATTCATTTATTCCACTATATGAGATTTAATACATGAAAATCAATATTCAAGTAATTAAAGCTTTCGATGATCTATATATACAATAATTGTGTACAGATTTTAGATAGAATTCTATTTACAATTCTATATGCTATATATTCGAATATTGTTTATATGTTTTAATGTAAATTTTATATAGATGTTTATTTCTTCAAGTATTTTTTATATTTTATAATACATAAAATTTTATTTCCTCAACAGTTTAACTATATATATATATATATATATATATCATCTGAAATGAGTTTAAAATTTCTTGCAATATTTCAATATTTTAAAGATATGCTCTTCTTCTATCGTAACAGGTTCAATCTAATTATCATGGGTATAATGAGCCCAGATATGGACGAACTTTTCGGCAGCCTCATCAAATGAATTGGAATTATCATTTTGGAAATCATGATAACGTGAAATTTCGAGATCATAACACATGGGTACGAGATAGACCTATAGTGGATGATAAAATTGAACCGCCACTTAGCAAGACCAAACTCAGCGACGACACATATTAATTATAAAATAATTTATTAAATTGTGTGTAAAACTTTAATGATGTAAATATTGCTATAATATTTTTTAATCATGTTATTAAAAGCAATTTAATCATCACATAATAAAATTAAGAAATCAATTTAAAAGCGTCAAGAGTTTAATTTATGCACAGTAGATACAATAATATGAATATATATTTAATTAAATATATAAATTAAATATATAAATGTAATAATTAAATGCAGAATAGTCGTCAAAAATATAAAATTGTATTTACTCTATATTATTCGAGTAGAACATAACACTCATAAAGATTTTGTCAAGATTTTTAAATGTGTATATCGTGTATAAAAGTTATAACTTTTAAGAAACAAATAGTTAGTTCTAAGAGAAACTTGAGTATTTGTGTGATAATCTTAAGGAAATATTTGAGCCTGAGTTTTGAGAATTTTATGCTACAATCTTACTTTGTAACATCAACAATTTTAAATTATAAAACTTCATCATCATTATGGTACGTTCTATACAGTACATGATAGTAAATTAATGATTATAAACATATGCAATTAAGAGTGTAATTTAATTAATCATATAGAGTGCGATAAGAAATTTTTCCATTATCGTTAACGCCTGTAATGGAAGACTTATGATTAATCGGCCTGCCATCCGGACCGGTCATGCTGGAGGAGCTCGAACTAGAGAATACTCCATAGCTGTTACCCGATGGCGGAGGAAGATCGTCAGCAAATCTGGATTCTATTCCTGGAGAAGCCTATGACGGATAGATCGCCAGTAATAATACTATATTGAGTAGACTGGAATCTGATTGTGTGCAAAATGAAGCATATTAACTGGACAATTTCTGTATTGCTTTTTGCGTGCGATAATTTATGAAAAAAATTAAAACTCACGGGACTAATTTGGCCAGATTGAAAACCACCATATGGGCCTAAACCAATGCTGGCACTCGCAACCTGAGGTATACCGCCACCGTAATGTTTGCCATCGTAATTAGCGGCTTCATTGGCCAAACGATTATGGAGCTCCATGTTGCTATACAATACAAATTCTTATTTATAATGTGCTTTAGAAACATATATGAATGAGATAATTTGCAATTACATTTTTTAAAAATTAAAAATATTAGATACAAAACATTGAATGTTTCTGCTTGATCTTCAGGATAAAAAACTAGATAGACAGTTCCTAAAACGAAATATGGGAAGAAATATTACCAAAAGAATAAATAATACAAAATTTTACAGTAATTAATTATAGGGACAATGCTGTTTTAATTATGTAATAAAATTTTATACATAAAAAAGTTTTACTTTAAAATAACTTCAATATTTTTAAATACGTATTTAATATACCTATTGATAAAAATTAATCTAAAATTTATATAGAATTTATATTAGAGAGAGATTTTATTAACTAAATGGTAGACTTGAAAGAGCTCTCTGTTGTTAAATGTTAAAACAGTATTGAAATTGTGCAAATGATTTTATAAATATAATTTCAAGAAATTCCGCTCAAGTTAATTTTATGTTTCAATCATTTGCAATTATTTATATTATTCGAAGACTTACGCCTTATGTTGCGCCTCGATCTGCGCCTGAATTTGTTTGATCATATTAAAAGTAGGATCATTAAAACTAGGAAATTGTCCTGGATAAAAGAATCCGGGTCCTGGGTTATACGGATCTGCGAAAAAATACAGTACACGATAAGATACAAATAATAACATATAAAAATCATGCATATACATGCGATTGCATTTACTTATAAATCATAAAAGTTAATATAAACTATCTAATATAAGTTACCTAAACAAATAAATAAATAAATACATAAATGCACACATATAAGTAAATAAATATATAAATAAATAATATAAATGTACAAACGCACGCGAATATGATATAAATAAATAAATAAATAAATGTCGAAAATTATTATCACGACATTAGTCGCTTTATATAGTATAAGATCCAATTACGTTCGACAGAATATCATGCATTTTTAAAAGAACATCAGCACGATTTCGCCAAACAAATTTCGAGATACATAATTCTGATGTCTCTTCTTTGCCTTTGATATCCAATTGGTTTCAATCTTTTGCCGATCTTTTACACACACCGAGAAATGTTCAAATCATAGCATGCAACCCCAATTCATTCATTATCTTCCAAAATTTTGAGTCAGTCTTCGTCCTTGCATTTTTGGGTTCATGCTCGTACCTCCACCGAAATTGAATCCGTTCTGATTTGGTGAATTATTCTTGTTCGGTGAGATATCCTTGCTCGGTGAGTCATCCTTATTTAGTGGATTATCTTGATTTGGTAAATTATCTTGAAATCCTCCTCGACTACTGAAAGATGGCGTCGGATATCCCGTCGGTGAAGCCGCCGTGGGAAATCCCATTGGATATCCTGGATATCCAAAACTTCCAGCGGACGCGCCTGCGGATGCGAATCCGGGCCCGTTGTTTGTACCGGTCCATGCATAGTTCGGGTTATAACTTGGTATAGAGTTGAATCCAGCATAGGGATCGAAACCTGAATCATAACCGCCAGGACCGAATCCGGATCCGAATCCAGGTCCGAAACCAGATCCGAATCCGGGTCCGAATCCGGATCCAAATCCGGGAGTGCCAAATGGTCCAGGAGTTGGTGCTTCATTTTTAGGTTCAGGTTTCTTAGTAGAGTCTTCAGGTTCGTCGACATTCGAACGTGGCTGAATGTCGCTTGGTTTCTCGGACGTCGGTTTCGTACTTTCTGGAGTTGTACTAGGCGTAGTGGATAGAGTTGTTGGAGTAGTGGAAGTGGATGTGGGAGTACTGGCAGAAGTGGAGGTCGGAGTAGTCGTGGGAGACGTCGCCTCTGTGGTAGTGGTTGGTGTAGTAGTTGGTTCAGTGGATGGGGTGGTTGTAGGTGACGTTGGAGGTGTAGTCGATGATGGTGTAGTTGATGATGGTGTAGTCGATGATGGTGTGGTCGATGATGATGTTGTTGTGGGATCTGTTGTCGAGGAGGTTGTAGTTGCTTGACTGGTAGTAGGTTTGGTGGTACTCTCACCATTCGAATCGTCAATTTCTCGCTTCACTCTGGACATCATGATGAACGGTTTGTCAACGTGTTGTTCTCCAGCTTCGAAAAAAAACGAAAACAGAAGAGCAATTTTTTTATCGATCGTTGTTACTTAAGATGAAACTCGTTTTGTTGATGATTCTCAGCTACTAGTTGAAAAAGCATTGTTAGTTGCAATATGTCTCATGAACATATCTTGAAATTCCATCACCAGAGAGACCAATTATGTACTAGAAATATTATACTAGTCACACTTACAATATGTGTATAATAATGCTTAATGTAATAAATAATAGATAACATTTAATAGATGTGTTACTAATCATATTATTGCTGTAAATAGTAATGTTTAATAAAGATAATGTAATGTGCTCAGGTTTAAATGCTATACATATACATGTAGTATTTTATAAGGAGATATTAATATTCGGGAAACATTTAAAAACATTTAAAAATCATTCATATAAAATATACGACAATTAAAATCCTGAACTTGAACTATTTATAATAAAAACATTAGTCTATCAAATTATTAAAAAACTTGCCAATTAAAATATAGTTTACGAACAAATTATTTTTATCATTGACTTATCTTCAGCTTAATTAGATAAAAATTAATGATAATTTAACAATACGTGATTAACCATGAACGTGATATCAATCATAAAAAATTATTAAAGTTGTACAGTCACGTTAACTTGATAAATCACGTACTTATAGCATTTTTTTTTTCGATAATATTGTAATGTTTAGAATCATTGATATTTACGTATGTTTCATCTCATCATTTCATTTATTTATTGGTATTGTATTTAAATTAAAACTCTTTTTCAACTTACCTTTCTATTATTTAATTATCTCATTACTACAAATGCACACATATTATATATTGTAAATTTTATATTAAAAAATATATTTCACCTGGTAAATTCCACCTGTTTAAACAAAAGTAGATTTTGATAAGTCAATTAGCCGTATATTTTATATGATAGGAATAGAGTGTCATGCACAAGAGAAAAAAACGGAAAAGAGAAATTATGAGAAGATAATGAAAAAGAAAGTATCTTCTGAGTCAAGGTAAAGAACGGAATGAGGTCACGGTCTACAGGCGTCAAATTATCTTCATTTGGCTAGCAGTCGTGTGAGTTACGCATATGTTTATATACGCAGACGAGCATGCTGTATCACGGAAAACGCATGGTTGCACAGACGAACATCAATCTTGGTTATCACGATTAATATCGTTCACGCTCTTAACAATCGACGATTTAATGATGATTTAATGACGATTTAATCACTAACGATATTAATGCAACAATCTTATATATTTCCACATTCCACATTTCACAAAACAATCGGCGTGAATAATTATGTCAGTTGCGTCAAATAAAATTGTGCATAATGCACGTGTTATTTTCTTTTTCTAATTTTCATATATTTAATATTATGTCATATATTTAATATTATAATAATTGTAATTAATCAAGAATAAAATATTGAGAATAACATAGACGTGTAAGGCGTGTATAATAAAATAATAATGATGACTGAAATCTATTATATCTATTATATCCTTATTTAAAAATAAAAAATATTAGTATCATTAATGGATAATCTTAGAAAAAAAGAAAAAGAAATTAAATGTGTAAATTGCCTCATGCAAATTAACGTATTTGCACAATTATCGTAAATAATTTCAAATATCATCGTAAATAATTTCAAATCAAAGCTTGTTTAGTGATTTAATGATAAGTTATAAAATGTTTATAAAAAGATTTTTGGTAAAGATTAGTGACTATATTTATAGCAAAATAATTAATGTCATAAATAAAAGATTTCTTAATTATTCATTTTTCGAAGTATCTTTATCTACAATCGTATAATTTCTGAATGTTTACGTTCACAAAGAGAATGCCAACAGCCTGACAACAAATCTCCTCTTTGGCATTGATTAAAATCATAAAATCAATTATATATCG